CCATGAAGCCATAGGCCATGTTGGCATATGGAATTGCCCAAGCCAGCCAGCTCTTCTCTGGCATTGTGAGAAATTCAGAACATGAAAAAGGGAAAACTGGGAAGGGGAGGTTTAGAAAGGAGAAATGGGGATAGACAGGTTTCACTGTCAACCAGAGACCACCCTTTTCTCTTTCTCATCCATTCAGAGTTTTTTGTTTTTTTTTTTGGATTTCGTTGCAATTTTGAACAGTGGCTAAGCAACCACTCATAAGTCAAGGGCCTCTTGTAGAGTACCTTGGGCTTAGAGAGAGGCAGAGGTTGGTTGAAGTTTACCCAATATTTTCTTTGATCAACACTAAACCATATGATGAATGATTGAGGGAACTGGTTATGTCCAGTCTAATGAAGTGAAGGACTTGAGATGAGATGATAGCAGTCTTCCAAAATTTGAGGGGCTGCCACAAAGAATAGAATAGCTTTGGAGAAGAGCTTCTTTGTGGCAACCCCTGAGATACTGGAACACTGTTATCATGTCACCCCTAGTCCTTCTTGTCATTAAACTAGACATACCCAATTCCAGCAACTGTTCTTTATATGTTTAGCATCCCAGACAATCCTATGGACCCAGCTCAAGCATCACTTACATGCCATGTCCTGGATAGAGGGGAGTGAACTGCCAATGATCTTTTCCGCTGTCCTCACCACTCTTTCATCCCTTTCTGGATCGGGACTCCCTACACACAGTCACTCATGCCCTCGTCACCTCCCGCATTACTATTGTAATGCTCTCTACATGGGGCTCCCCTTGAGGAGCACTCGGAGGCTCCAACTGGAGCAGAGTGTGGCCGCGCGGGTGGTTATAGAGCAATATGGCGCTCCCGTGTAACACCTCTCCTGCGCAAGCTGCACTGGCTCCCGGTGGTCTTCCGTGTGCGCTTCAAGGTTTTGGTCACCACCTTTAAAGCGCTCCATGGCTTAGGACCTGGTTATTTACGGGACCGCCTACTACCACAAACAGCCTCCCACCGGCCGGTACACTCTCATAGAGAGGGGCTCCTCCGGGTGCCGTCAGCCAAGCAGTGTCGACTGGCGGCCCCCAGGGGGAGGGCCTTCTCTGTGGGGGCACCTACAATCTGGAACGAGCTCCCCCCGGAGATACGGAGGATCCCAGATCTGCGCACCTTCCGCCGTGCTCTTAAGACCCTCTTATTCCAGCAAGCCGGCCTGGCCTAATTTTTCTCCCCTTTCTTTTAAATTTTAAATTGAAATTTTAATTTGTTTTAAATTTATTGGGATTTTAATTGTCGTGGGCTAAATTATTAAATTTGGTTTTAAATTGTTTTTAACTTTTGTATTTCTGTATTTTATCCTGTGCCTGTTCACCGCCCTGAGTCCTTCGGGAGTAGGGCGGTATACAAATTTAATAAAACTAAACTAAACTAAACTCTCCACTGCCTTCCCATCTGAAGGAGTAATGCTTCCAAACCAGACTGTAATGCAATATGACAGGATGCTCTCGATCATCCCTCTATAGCAGTGATGGCTAACCTTTTCCAGACCGAGTGCCCAAAGAGCGTGCACGTCAGGGGTGAAATGCTCCCGGTTCAGACTGGATCGCGCGATCCAGTAGCAATTGTAGCAGGTGGTTTGGAGAACTGGTAACGATGGCGGTGCGAGACTCTGCCCACCCGCCTGGGTGTCATTACTTCCTCATTTTAACCAGGAAGTAATGTGTTTCTTACCCTCTGCGCACGCGCAGAAGGTTTTATGCATGCACAGAGGGTCTGTGCGCGGATGTGATGTGCGTGCATGAGCGAGTGAGGCGAGCGTGTGTGTGTGGCACGTGCACTTCCGAACCGATAAGGAAGGTAAGTAGATTTCACCCCTGGTGCATGTGCATGCCCGAACCCCCAAAATGCATGCATGAGCCCCGCCCCCCCGCATGCGCAGCAGCGAACCGAAGACCAGGGGAGCTGAAGTGGGGCAACAGCTCGCGTGCCATCAGAGAGGGCTCTGCGTGCCACCTCTGGCACGCGTGTCATAGGTTCGCCATCACAGCTCTATAGGAAGTGGTAAGGACAGGACAAGGAACATTAGAGCCTTGGTGGCGCAGCAGACTAAAGTGCTGTTAAATAGCACTTAGCTGCCTGCAATTACTGCGAGTTCAAATCTCACCAGGCTCAAGGCTGACTCAGCCTTCCATCCTTCCGAGGTAGGTAAAATGAGGACCTGGATTGTGGGGGCAATAAACTTACTTTGTATATAAAAAAAAAAGAACACTGTTTAGGGTGGGGGCCGAAAGCCCTACTAAGCAGGTATATACAAAAGTATGCAGGCTATTGCTTAAAAGCATTGTAAGCCGCCCTGAGTCTCCGGAGAAGGGCGGCATATAAATCGAACCAATAAATAAATAAATAAATAAACGTGTACTTTTCTCATGTGACGCCGAAAAGGCAGGCACGGCTGTGCCCGCTTCACCAGGGTCTCACTGTTGAGCGACCAAGTCAGCCTACTCGTCAGTTGCACACCCAGAAACTTGATGCTGCTAAGATAACCACCTCCACAGGTGAATCATAAACCCACACAGGAGTGTGTGGCTGTGCCTTGCCTTTTCTGAAATCGACAACGATCTCTTTCGTGTTTCCAAGAAGCCTGTTTTTTTTATTGCACCAGTTCACCCAGCCCTCGGTGGTTCCTTTTTGTCACGTCCAACTCAAGTGTAAACATTGGGACGTGTGATTGAGGAGAAATTAACCATTAGCACAGACTGGGTTTGTTCAATCAAAAGGGAAAAAAAAATAGAAAAGCCATACGTAACTATACAGCTTAAGTATCTATCTAAATGCAGATGAGTTTATGATGGAAATGTGTTTTTTTACAGACCCCCTCGCATCCTGGACATAAATTGTTTCAGCTTCTACCCTCAAAACGACGCTACTGCACACCAGAACAACTAGACACAAGGACAGTTTTTTCCCCAAATGCCATCACTCTGCTAAACAAATAATTCCCTCAACACTGTCAAACTATTCACTAAGTCTGCATTACTATTAATCTTCTCATCGTTTCCATCACCCATCTCCTCCCACTTATGACTGTATGACTCAGTGGTTGTTGCCCCTGGTTCAGACCAGTTCGCAAGAACCGGTAGTAAAACCAGCGGGAGGCTCCGCCCACTGATTCCGAAGGTCATCATAGGCGATCTGTATATATGCAGAAGCTTCTGCGCATGTGTATGTGCGGACACGATGCGAACTGGTAGTAAAGGTAAGTAGAACCCACCCCTGATATGAATGTAACGTATTGCTGCATCCTTACGATTTATATTGACTGTTTCCTAATATTATTTATTTTATTAGATTTTAGATTTTTATACCGCCCTTCTCCTACTGGATTTGATTGCTTATTTGTACCCTATGACTATCATTAAGTGTTGTACCTTATGATTCTTGACGAATGTATTTTTTCTTTCTATGTACACTGAGAGCATATGCACCAAAGACAAATTCCTTGTGTGTCCAATCACATTTGGCCAATAAAGAATTCTTTCTTTCTTTCTATCTATCTATCTATCTATCTATCTATCTATCTATCTATCTATCTATCTATCTATCTATCTATCTATCCATCCATCCATCCATCCATCCATCCATCCATCCATCCATCTATCCATCTATCCATCTATCCATCTATCCATCTATCTAATTGTTTCCTAGTATGATTTGATTGCTTATTTGTTCCCTATGACTATCATTAAGTGTTGTACCTTATGATTCTTGACGGATGTATCTTTTCTTTTATGTACACTGAGAGCGTATGCACCAAAGACAAATTCCTTGTCTGTCCAATCACACTTGGCCAATAAAGAATTCTAATAATTCTAATTCTTTCTACCTACAGTATATATTAATACACACGTACCACACATACAAAGGAAAAGGAAGAATTCAGACAGGTGGCATTCCACTCACAAAATCAGTGAACAGCGTCTGTAATTTTAGGCAGAACCTTTGCTGAAAGCTTCATCAACCTTTTTAAAAATGATGCAAATTCGGAAGCTGAACTCAATAGGTAGTCTGTCTCTCACTCTCCAAAAGAAAATAGCCACAAAAGCTGTTGAACATTTTTTTTTTTTCCCCCTGATCTACGTTCATAAGGAAGAGCCTCTCCATGTTATGGGCCTAATGTATTTCCTAGACTCTTCTAAACAAAATAAAATAAGTAAATACCAGATTTATTTCCCAACATCTGTATTCACTTCTTGCTATTTCTTTCCCATGCTATCACACTGCGTTAATGTAGGACGGAAGCTTGGCGGATGTGTCTATGTTTATTTTATTTTTTTTTTCAACTCCATTTTGCGCTCCAAAATCTGGAGGAATAGCAATAGCAATAGCACTTAGACTTATATACCGCTTCACAATGCTTTTACAGCCCTCTCTAAGCGGTTTACAGAGTCAGCATATACTGCCCCCAACAATCTGGGTCCTCATTTTACCCACCTCTGAAAGGTGGAAGGCTGAGTCAACCTTGGGGAATGCTTGAATAGGATTTGGGGTTAGGGTTTTTTTTTTTTGCAAATACATCCCCAAATAGCTACGGACAAAAATAAAGGGGGAAAGACCATCAGGCAATTTATTTAGCGTGTGGCAGTGGTCCCCAAACTTTTCGGCTCTGTCATGGCGGTGGGGAGGGAACGGATGGTCTTGCATGCATGTACACCTTTAAGAAATGCAGCATTGCATGCTCATCAGCGGCTTGCATGGACTGGTTTCCAACGGGCCACAGCCTTGCATCAGGCCGCGGACCGGGAGTTGGGGACGCCTGGCATACGGCGATGTTACATTAGCCAGGAACCATCACTCCAAATCAACACGGATGGAACCAAACGGCCAAGACCACATCTGACCAGCTTCCATTTCCTCCAAACGCAGCTCTTGCCAGCCACCCCAGCAAATACATTTGTGCTTTTTTTCAATCAGAAACAAACAAACAAACAAACAAACCCACTTGACTTACACATCAGCTTCATCCCAGACAATGCAGGTTTGATTTGTGGTCCCCTGATTGGAGAGAAAAAAGGAGATAAAAGAATAAATCGGAGTGCAATCCACAGAGTGATGCTCGTATCAATCAGGCAGTCCCTTAATCCGTGTTTGTGGATGTGTGTCCTCCAATTTGCCTAAAAAGCCTACATTTTGACATCTCCTCCTGACAAAATTCAAATTTATTTATTTATTTATTTATTTATTTATTTATTTATTTATTTATTTTATTATATTTTTATACCGCCCTTCTCCCGAAGGACTCAGGGCGGTGAATAGCCATAATAAAACAATATACAAGACAAATTTAAAAACCATATTAAAATAATTCAATTTTGGCCAAATTTAAAATTCCCATTCTAAAACCCTTATAAAACCATATTAAAACCCATATTTAAAACCCAATTAAAATTATTGTCCCATCAGACCGGCTTGCTGGAATAACAGGGTCTTCAGCGCACAACGGAAGGCACGGAGGTCGGGGATCCTTCGTATGTCCGGGGGCAGTTCATTCCATAGGGCCGGGGCCCCCACAGAGAAGGCTCTTCCCCTGGGAGTCACCAGTCGACATTGTTTGACCGATGGCACCCTGAGGAGGCCCTCTCTGTGGGAGCGTATCGGTCGGTGGGAGGCAGTCAGTGGCAGCAGGTGGTCCTGTAAATATCCAGGCCCTAAGCCATAGAGCACGTTAAAGGTGGTAACCAACACCTTGAAATGCACCCGGAAGACCACCGAGAGCCAGTGCAGCTCGCGCAAGAGAGGTGTTACATGGGAGCTACGAGTCGCCCCCATTATCACTCGCGCAGCTGCATTCTGGACCAGTTGGAGCCTCTGGGTGCTTCTCAAGGGGAGCCCCATGTAGAGAGCATTGCAATAGTCCAGACAGAAAGTGACGAGGGTGTGGGTGACTGTGCGCAAGGCATCCCGATCCAGAAAGGGACGCAACTCGGAGATCAGGCGAACCTGATAAAAGGCCCCCCTGGCTACGGCCGTCATATGATCATCCAACGACAGCCGTGAGTCCAGGAGGACGCCCAAGTTGCGAGTCCTCTCTGAGGGGGGTAAGAGGTAAATGATGGGATGGGATGTGTCAGCTTCTACACCAGGGGAAACACAGTTAGGAATCAAGGGTAGCGGTACACAAGCTCAGATGCTCTGCTCGAATGAAAAAATAGACGTTATTCATGGATTCCAGGACACCATAAAGACTGTGGCTCCCTCCTGATTTTTTTTTTAAAAAGGTATCTATCCAGGATAGGCAAATGGAAAATGTGCAGTAGGTGTTTACTTGAGATCAGCACTATTGTAGAGAGACCTGGGAAGCCATAGAAGATAATATTTGTAGCTCATGGTTGGGCTGTTTTGTGTTCTCTGAGCTCGGTTGTTTCTTTGCAGATGTTTCATGACCCAACTAGGTAACACACTCAGTGCTAGAAGGGAGTGGGGCTTGCAGAGAGGAGGAAGAGGACACTGTAGGATCCTTGGTATCCTCTGAGCCTGTTAGTTTTCTTGCAGACGTTTCATTACCAAACTAGGTAATATCATCAATGCAGTGATGTTACTCATACACAAATGCTGGCCTTCACATCATTTAGGCTTCCTGGTCAATCTCCCAGCTCACGGTTGTCTTTCTTCAAACGTGTCCCTGAGCACAATATTCCATATACGCAGTCTGATTTGGACCTTCCCTTTCTTTTCCCAAAAGGAGAAGGAGGGAGAAGGAGGACTGTGAGGTCCTTGGTGCTCTCTGAGCTTGGTTGTTTTCTTGCCGATGTTTCATTACCTAGCTAGGTATAACATCATCAGTGATGAAAGGGAGTGGGTTTTGCAGGAAGGAAGAGGAGGAGGATGAGGAAGAAGAGGAAGAACATTGAAGTCACAGAATAACAAGATGTCGTAACTTCATGATCAGGGCCCTCTTTCTTTGTCCTCAGCAAAATATTCAACCGAGAGAGAAAAATTCATTTCAGTTCTAAGTTCTATTCCCACCCAAAATCCTTCCCTTCTAAGTGGTCCCAAGGCAGGAACGATGACTTACATTATACAAATGGGAGAATTCGATTTCCATCATGGCGACCAGGGATTGAGGTTCTGGCTTGACAGTCACGGAGATGATGCGCGAATTGAGTACTGTGGTATTCCTAGAGAGAAGGAAGGAAACAGATAAATGATGGAAGATGGAAGAGTATTCAGAGCGGTCAACAGAAGAACAGTCCGTTGAGTGATTCCTTCAAAGAATTTTTACCTCCTTTTTCCGCATAATGGACAGATGTCAACTGAAAAGAAGACTAGGGGATGACAGTGTTCCGATACGTAAGGGGTGTCACAAAGAAAAGGGGATCAACCCATTCTCCAAATCATCTGAGGACAGAACAAGAAGCAATGGATGGAAACCATTGATCCAGAAAAGTACAGGTCTTTTGCTTGAGCAGGAGGTTGGACTAGAAGACCTCCAATGACCCTTCCAACTTTGTGATTCTTACTCTGAAACTAATCAAGGGGAAAATCAGCCTAGAACTAAGGAGGAATGTCCTAACAGTGAGAGCAATTAATCGACTTGCCTCCAGAAGTTGTGGGGGCTCCATCATTGGAGGCTTTAAGAGCAGATGATCAAGTAGGATCATTTCAGACAAATGGTTGTCCAATCTCGTCTTAAAAACTTCCAGAGTTGGAGGACCTACAACTTCCCGAAAGCAAAGCCGTTCCACTGATTAATTGTTCTCACTGTCAGGAAATTTCTCCTTAGTTCTAGGTTGCTTCTCTCCTTGATTAGTTTCCATCCGTTGCTTCTTGTTCAGTTCAGTGCTTTCAAGAACAGGATCCTTTCTTCTTTGTGGCAGCCCCTGAGATTTTGAAACACTGCTATCATGTCACCCCTAGTCCTTCTTTTCTCTAGACCAGCCATGCCCAGTTCCTGCAACTGTTCTTCATATGTTTTAGCCTCCAGTCTCCTAATCATCTTTGTTGCTCTTCTCTGCACTCTTTCCAAAGTCTCAACATCTTTTTTTTAAATCATGGCAACTAAAACTGGATGTTTTGGAGTGTCTTACAGTCCTGAAATGTATTATGCTTACGGAAAATCAGATCAAAATATCATAGTGTGCTGTTTATACTTTCCAAAATTGTGTGCTTCAACCTGCTGATTTTTAAACTATCTCTACACATGCTGAGCAACAGTAGATATGCATTGCTGAGCAACGTGCATATTATTATTATTTTAATACCATCACTCTCATTTAATATCATCACTATCATTAATTTAAGATCATCCCTCTGAGCCTCTCTTGGAGACCATTAAGAAGAAAGATTCATGCTTATGAAATGCCTTATAAATTGGATTTCTCAGATTCCCCCACAGCTAGCTTTTTAAAAACCCTCAAAGATCGCAATTAGTAACCTGAAATCACATTTGTGTGCGCCTGGTTTTTAGAGATTTAATTTTTTTTAAAAAAAAGAGGAAATAAAAGGAAATAAAGAATGATGCAAAGGTATAATATCAGTAAGTGGACAAAGAAATTGTACAGATACCATTCAGTCTGTCAGTGATGAAAAATTAATTATAAAAAACAAAACACACCGTTTTTAACAATAAGGAAAAGGGATCATTAACAAGGATTTAATGATCCTTTTGAATGCCCGAGCTGAGTGGTAAAGTCTCCACTATATTGTTAAAGAGAGGAGGAGGAGGAGGAGGAGGAAGGAAGGAAGGAAGGAAGGAAGGAAGGAAGGAAGGAAGGAAGGAAAAGAAAGAAAGAAAGAAAGAAAGAAGAAAGAAGAAAAAAAGAAAGAAAGAAAGAAAGAAAGAAAGAAAGAAAGAAAGAAAGAAAGAAAGAAAGATGAGGGGAGGGAGGGGAGGGGAAAAGAGGAGGGGAGGGGGAGGGGAGGAGAGGGGAGGAGAGGAGAGGAGAGGGAAGGGAAGGGAAGGAAGGAAGGAAAGGAAAGGAAAGGAAAGGAAAGGAAAGGAAAGGAAAGTTAAGGAAAGGAAAGGAGGAAGGAAGGAAGAAAGGGAAAGGAAAGGAAAGGAAAGGAAAGGAAAGGAAAGGAAAGGAAAGGAAGATTCAGGGAGATTTTAATTGGGGTGTCACTGCGTTATTTTATTTGCCAGCTGAACTCATCATTTCTGGACTGTCAGACTCTCCGTAGCTTTGCCAACTTCTTATCAGTAAGCTACATGTTTCCGTATCCACCCACATTCCTTCACTTGCTCTCACACTCTTCCTTTGTTCTCTTTCCAGCAAGGTCCGGCTGACATAGCCGGCAAGAATTATTTTCAAAAATGTAGCAATTAACTTTTCTTAGTTAGTGAGGTGTTTTATTTTCTTTATAACAAATAAATGAGTTTTATTAGAAACCTTCCTTCGCGTTTCTTTTCAGAATATTGCAACTTGGAATAAGCCTCGATTCATCTCCTCCTCTAAACCAGGGTAATTAGTCCCAGAGCCAAACATGGGATTAATAAATGCCCTGACATGGGGACTATTAACCTTGCTAACATCCTCATCTTATTGATTTTAATCCTGCAAATTGACTTGATGGGATCTTTGTCATTCAAAGCAACTTAGAGATACGTTAAAGAAAGAAAGACACTAAAATTCTAGGCAAATTCCATATTAAATGTTCCACGGAAACAGCTTTGTCAAAGTCTGCAGATGCATGGGCTCAAAAATGAACGTTTCTTCACGTTGGGTGTTCATCTTGACCAAAAACAAGAGAGACCAGCCAGTGCAGTGGCACTCAGTTAGATCTGGGCTCTTGTGGAGTTTATAGTCCAATGTTCTCCATCTCAGCTTGTTTCCAGCATCATGTGTAGCTCATCCTGATACACACGCCAAGATGTCATTTCGTCCTTCCACCCTTGATGTCTTTTTGCTTCGCTCACTTTCTTTTCCAGACCATCAGCTGCCCACATCACGTACCCAAAGTATGTGAACTTTTGTTGGATGATTGCCATCTCCAAGGACCAGACAAGCCTTGATTGGCTCCGAACTGAATAACTTCTTCTTCTTCTTGCAGTCCATGATACAAGTGGTCCTCAACAGACAACCACAACTGAGCCCAAAATTTATGTTGCTAAGTGAGACATTGGTTAAGTGAGCTTTGCTCGATTTTATGACCTTTCCTGCCACAGTTGTTAAGGTGAAGTTGTAAAATGAGTAACAAGGTCATTAAATGAGTCTGGCTTTCCCCCATTGACTTGGTTTGTCGGAAGGTCGCAAAAGGGATCACTTGACCCCGGGACACTGCAACATGAGTCATAAACATGAGTCAGTTGCCAAGCGTCCGAATTCGGATCATCTGACCATGGAGATGCTGCAATGGTCGTAAGTGTGAAAAATGGCCGTAAGTCACTTTTTTCAGTGCCGTTGCAACTTTGAACGGTCACTAAATGAATGGGTTGTAAGTCAAGGACTACCCGTACTCTTAATAACCATTTACCAGCCTACAATTTAACTTTAGTTACTTTTTAACTCTCTCTTCTTCTATTCCAATGTCTAGCTTTCATTTCTAGCTGTTCTATTCCAATGTCTAGCTTGCTACTGAAAATACAATTGGTTGACTGACTACAGAATAACAGAGTTGGAAGGGACCTTGGAGGACTTCTAGTCCAAACCCCTGCTCGAGCAGGAAAAAGACAAATTGTTGTCCAATCTCTTCTTAAAAACCTTCAGTGATGGAGCAGCCACAACTTTTGGAGTCAAGTTGTTCCACTGGTTAATTGTTCTCACTTCCAGGAAATTCCTCCTTAGTTCTAGCTTGCTTCTCTCCTTGGTTAGTTTCCAATCGTTGCTTCTTATCCTGCCTTCAGGTGCTTTGGAGAATAGACTGACCCCCTCTTCTTTGGGGCAGCCCCTAAGACATTGCACCACTGCTATCATGTCACCCCTAGTCCTTCTTTTCATTAGACTAGACATACCCATAATGGCAGAAAGCGAAGAGGAACTAAAGAGCCTGTTGATGCGGGTGAAGAAGGAGAGTGCAAAAGTTGGCTTGGAACTCAACATTATGAAAACTAACATGATGGCATCCGGCCCCCTCAATTCCTGGCAAAAAAAAATGGGGAAGAAATGGAGGTAGTGACAGATTTTATTTTCCTGGGCTCCAAGATCACCGCAGATGGGGACTGCAGCCCAGAAATTAAAAGAGGCTTGCTCCTGGGGAGGAAAGCTATGGCAAATCTAGACAGCATTCTAAAAAGCAGAGACATCTCCCTGCCAACAAAAGTGCGTATAGTCAAGGCTATCGTTTTCCCAGTTGCAATGTCTGGCTGTGAAAGTTGGACCATATGGAAGGCTGAGCACCAAAGAATGAAGGTCTTTGAACTCTGGTGCCGGAGAAGACTCCTGCGAGTCCCTTGGACCGCAAGGCGATCAAACCAGTCAGTCCTAGAGGAGATCAACCCTGACTGCTCTTTAGAAGGCCAGATCCTGAAGATAAAACTCAAATACTTTGGCCACCTAATGAGAAGGAAGGACTCCCTGGAGAAGAGCCTAATGCTGGGAACGATTGAGGGCAAAAGAAGAACGGGACGGCAGAGAACGAGGTGGCTGGATGGAGACACTGAAGCAGTTGGCATGAGCTTAAATGGACTCCAGAGGATGGTAAAGGACAGGAAGGCCTGGAGGAACGTTGTCCATGGGGTTGCGATGGGTCGGACATGACTTTGCAACTAACAACAACAACAAAGACGTACCCAATTCCTACAACCATTCTTCCTGTTTTAGCCTCCAGTTCCCTAATTATCTTTGTTGCTTTTCCCTGCATTCTTTCTAGAGTCTCAACATCTTTTTTTACATCATGGTGACCAAAACCAGATGCAGTATTCCATGTGTGGCCTTACCAAGACCTTCTAAAGTGCTATCAACAACTTCATGTGGTCTTGATTCTATCCCTCACATTAATGCAGCCTAGGACTTCTTGATAATTGTCCAACTTCATCACTGTCTCCTTCCCTAAGATTCATTATTTCTTTGCTGGTCTCTCACGCCAACCATCTTTATTTCTTCTTGCAGCTGAGAAAAGAAAACGAACTTCTAGTATCCCTTTGGGGACGTCAACCATATAGTAAATTCACTATGCATGCAGGCTGGAAAATCAGGAACTGTACAGTAAAATCCCCATGTCTATAAACAACTCCACCTATTGATTGGAGACCTGGAATTTACAATTGCTTGGTAGTGGTCCTTTTTTTTAAATCAATCTCTGCTTTCCAGCTGAGAGGAGGACACGAGGTAGTTAACGGATTTGTAGTGAGAATCAAACAAGAGATTTCAGCTATGGTTCCCGTTTCATTCTCATGATACCTGTAGACAATAACCCCCTGCTGAAGTCTGCAAAAAAAATAGAGGCAGCTGTAGTTTTATTGGACTGGGATCTGCAGATCCCTTTGGGATCGCTGGATCGGCTTTTAGAGATGCACTGTGGATTCCCTGCTCTGACTGAAAAAAGCAAGAGTTTCCAACCCTCTGCTGTGGAATGAGGTTTTAGATCTCTCCGAAGGCCCTTTTGGATCTATAGGCTCAGTACATCTGAGTCAGCAAGTCATTGCTGAAACAGCTACTGCAGTGCAGTGAAGTACGATGTGCCAATGAAGAAATAGCAAAGGATGTGTTAATTTTCCACAGAGACGTCCTCTCAGGCTTGATGTCCTTATGATGTGGTTAAAATGCATCCAGATAGAAGAAAAGCATTGATGGGGAGAAATTTTTGACAACTTTTCTCAACCTTAGTGGCTTTAACATTGGTGGACATCAACTCCCAGAATTCCCCAGCCAGCGATGGCTGGCTGGGAAATTCTGGGAATTGAAGTCCACTCATTTTAGAGTCATCAAGGTTGAGAAACACTTTTCTGTGAGGGAGTAGCTAACCAAACTCTTATTCAAAGCTGCCAATGGTTCTCCTAGGTTGGTAGTTTAGAAGATAATATGAGCTTTTCTTGATTAGGCCCAAAACCCAATATATTAAATACTCTGTTGTGGTCAACAAAAGGCATTTGAAAAGCTCCTCAACAAGGAGAAGAAAGTGAAACACAGAACACACTATTGTAGTTGATTAGTTAGGGAATGCTGACTCATGCATGAGGTAATCTACGCTACGATTGGTTGCTGTAAGTATAAAGGGGGTGTTTCCTTTTTTCCCGCCTTTTTCTTCTGTGTGCTCTGTATACTGTTTAATTTACCTCACGATGTTCCTGTGTTCCTGACTATCTTTGTGTATTTTTCTTTCTTTCTGGATAATGACAAAGACTGCTGTAAATTTAAATGTTAACTACATTTATATTTATATAAAAGGCTACAAGTTTGTGTCAGTCTCCAACTTCATCTGGATAGCTGCTGCTGCGCAATTCCCTGACAGAAAGTAAAGGCAACAATGCCAGGAATACAATAAAGACCTCCAATAAATTTTCCCACCTTTTTCGTCTGTGTGTTCTGTATACAGTTTTAGAGTTACCTCATGTTCCTGTGTTCCTGACTATCTTACGTTCTTCCTTTTCTGGATGATGGCAAAGACTGTTGTAAATTTAAATGTTAACTATATTTATATATAAGGCTATAAGTTTGTGTCGGTGTCTCCGACTGCATCTGGACAGCTGCTGCGCAAATTCCTCGACAAATTGATCCCTGCAAACATCTGATTCTTGACTTAGCTAGACCAGAAGGCCCGGTTTATTCTCCTATTAGCTACAATCCATATGCCAAAACTAAATTCAGGAGGTCAAAAGTGGAAGATCAAAGTCATGGTCAGCTCTCATTGAAGAGATTCCAAACACAGCAACAGACCATCTGTCATGCCCTCGGAAATTGAATCTGAGCTGGAGCTGGAGCCAATAGAGATCGAGGGGGTGGCTTTGTTGGCTTCGGAGAAATGTGGGGAGGAGCAGTCTAAGTTAGGCCAGGGCTTTTCAGGATTGGGATGGCTTGTAGGCAGGGAGGAACAGGGGCAGAATGACCAAGAGAGGGCAAGCAGTGAACACAAGGAGCGACAGAGCTCAGGCAATGAGCAAGGATCACCCCCTCCTGATCCCTGAGCATGGAGATTGGTGTTGTGACTCCGACCCCCGAGCCCATCTTATCGGAGGGAGAAGACTCCAAAAGTGAAGGAGAGGAGTTGGCAAGGCCTCCCTCTCCAGGACCCTCCTCTCTGGCAATGCCTCAGGTGTCTTCCGAAGGCCAAGAGATAGGCCAGGAGCCAGGCACTTCCGAGCAGCCGCAGTTAGACAGCGACGGAGATAAGTCTTGGCTGGATCCCCGACAGCGTCGGCAAGACAAGCACGTGCAGCAGAGAAGGAGGCATGCCAGAGATTAAGCTGAGTCACTGGACCACACCCCACAGGGGATAAAAGGGGGTGTGGTGGCCATTCAGGCTTTGTGACGGACAAAACTGAAAGCTAGCAAGTCATTCTGCATTTCTGGAACTTTGTTATATGCTCTGCTTGGATTGATTTTTGGACTGGACTTGACTATTCTTTGGCTTTTATGGACTTACTTTGATGTTTCAGTCGGAGGAGATAAACCTCCCTTTGTAAGTAAAAACTTTTGGCAAGCAGCCACTGGGTTGCTGCCAATTTTGTTATCAAAGGAAATTCTTGTCTGCTGGTTTATTTTAACTCTTGGTCGACTGCTGGTGTGCGTGTGTGAGACGGGGACAGAACAATTGGAGAGAAGGCAGGAACAGTGCAGGCTGACCCAATGACTCGGGAGAGAAGCGCCCCGCCCCTCTTCACAAGGCACACCTGGGGATTGAGCTTTAAGGAGACGCTGTGGGGAGGGGCATTTGTTGGGAACAAACACTGAATTCATGGAGTTTTGTATGCCATTCATTGCCGACGTTTGGAGTTTCCTGGACTTCTTGCTTTATTTCTTGCTTCCTGGATTAATTGCCTTGTCCCTTTGCTTCCTGGACTCATTGACTTATTCCCTTGCCCCGCTGGATTTCTTACTTTGCAGCTGTTGTGCTCACAGCGTTTTTGCTGGACTACTTGCAGCCAAAAGCTGCTGGAAATGTGTGTGTGTGTGATCACTTTGCTCTGGGACTTGCCATCAACGCGGGAGTGTTTGGGGGAAGGTTGGAATGATAAAGGGGCAATTTGAACTATCAGCTGATTGTGTTGCCCTTGTGCCTTGCCCCAGGTCATCACACCATCTTTTTTCACCACCTCTCTCCATCTTCATGGATGTATATGAAATATATATATATTTATATCCACTTTACCTCTGCAGGCCCAGGATCCCAGCCAGGTTGCGATAAATCACCGTGCCCACCACAAAGACGGCGGAGTCATCGGTCTCTGTAAAGAAGCAACAAAGCAAGCGAAGTGAGGACAGAAGTGGAGCAAAAGAATCACAACAGCAAGAACCGAGAAAAAAAGGAAGAGCTGGATTTCTTTAAACAGAATATTGATAGTCCTCAACTTGCAACAGCCAAAAGCCCTACTAAGCAGGTATATACAAAAGTATGAAGGCTATTGCTTTACACATTGTAAGCCGCCCTGAGTCTCCGGAGAAGGGCGGCATATATATCGAAGCAATAAATAAATCGTTTGTGTTTAGTGAGCAATTCAAAATAACAACAGCACTGAAAAATGTGACATTTTTCACACTTAACAACTATTGGTTGCAGCATCCACGTGATCAAAATTCAGATGCTTGGCAACAGAAGTAATAGGGAAAATTTTAGAATGCGCTGAAATGGATAGGTTAACCAAAGAATTACAAGAAAGAGAAGAATCAGACTATTATAAAATATGGAATAATTGGTATAATTGGTTAAAAATCAGAAATATACAAAAAATATAGGGGAAATATTACCGATTTAAATATATATATATAATAAAAAATGTTATTAGATTAAGGAGAGGTGAAGGAATATATCATAAGTAGAATTGTAGAACGTCACTCTGAAAAAATGCTTAAGAAGAAATTACACTCTTTTTGTGTATATGTTGTATAAATGGTTGTTGTGTATATGTTACGTATATCTTTTTTAATATTTATATTCAATAAAAACTACTTTTACAAAATTCAGATGCTTGGCAAATGGTTCATACTTATGACCGTGGCTTTGTCCCAAGGTCATATGATTCCCTTTTGGCGACCGTCTGACAAGCAAAGTCAATGTGGAAGCCAGATTCAGTGTCCCATGATCATGTGATTAAAATTCAGACACTTGGCAACTGACTCGTATTTATGACAGTCACAGCATCCTGGGATCTCACTTAACAAATGTCTCACTTAAAGAATAGAAATGTTGGGCTCAGTTGTGGTTGTAAGTCGAGGACTACCTGTAACAGAACTGGAAGAGACCTCAAAGGTCTTCTAGTCCAACTACTACTGAAGTAGAAGGCCCTTTCAGACAAATGACTGTCCAATCTCTTCTTGAAACCTCCAGTGTTGGAGCACCCACAACTTCTGAAGGCAAGATGTCCCACTTATTAATTAACAGAATAAGAGCGTTGGAAGGGATCTTGAAGGTCTTCTAGCTCAACCCTCTGCTAAAGCAGGAGAACCTATGCCATTTCAGACAGTTCTCCAGCCTCTTCTTAAAAGCCTCCAGTGATGGAGCACCCACAACTTCTGGAGGCGAGACATTCACTGGTTAATTATCCTCACTGTTAGGAAGTTTCTCCTTAATTCCAGGTTGCTTCTCTCCTTGTTTAGTTTCCATCTATTGCTTCTTGTCCTGCCTTCTGGAGCTTTGGAGAATAAATTGACCCACTCCTCTTTGTGGCAACCCCTCATATCCTACTATCATGTCAACTCTGGTCCTCCATTTGTACGGCCATCCAACTCAAACCAGTAACCATGGGCAGCAAACAATCATAAAAACAATTAAAAGTGTTGAGTTAAGACAATACAAAAAGGGAAATAAAATACAATTAGCAGCCCAGAGATAACTGCAATTCTTTGGACCCACAGGACAATTATACCACCCTGCTGTTTGCAGATACAAATCCTATTGCAACATACAAAATCTGTCAGATGGTGACCTGCACCTCAAACCAGCCTTCATGAGTATAGGGAGTTAACAGTAATAGAGTTGGAAGGGACCTTGGAGGTCATCTAGTCCAACCCCCTGCTCACGCAGGAAAACCTGTACTAGGGATTCGAACCGCCGAACTGCCAACCTTTCTGATTGTCAGGGTGCTAATTAATCCCATTCTGCTTTTGGGTAATCGCACCTTGATTTAGAGACATGGATCGAGACTTTTCCCTTGAAGCATACTTTTGCAAGAAAATAAACCCGGAGATATATTTTTCTAAGAAAAAACTCATTTATTTGTTATAAGGAAAATAAAACATCTCACTATCTAAATAATTACATTTTGGCAACGTTCCTGCCGGCCACCTCTCTGTGGCCGGACCTCTTGGCAAGAGAGAACTGTCCTAGGAAAGAGGTGATCAACTTATTCTCCAAAGCATCTGAGGCTAGGATAAGATACCATGGGTGCTGGCCAACCTGGAAATAAGGTGAGAATTTGCTGAGGGTGAGAATGATTAAATCAATGAGAGAGCTTGCCTTCTGGAGTTGTGGGTGCTCCATTGCTGGAGAAGTTCAAGAAAAGATTGGACAACCATTTGTCCAGGATGTGTGAGGCCTCCTGCCTTGGGCAGGGGTTAGACTAGAAGAACTCCAAAGTCCCTTCTAACCAGGGGTGAAATCCAGCAGGTTCTGGAGAACCGGTAGCGGAAATTTTAAGTAGTTTGGAGAACCGGCAAATACCACCTCTGGCTGGCCCCAGAGTGGGGTGAGAATGGAGATTTTGCAGTATCCTTCCCCTGCCATGCCCACCACGCCACACCACCACGCCACACCATGCCCATCAAGCCACATCCACAGAACCGGTAGTAAAAAAAATTGGATTTCACCACTGCTTCTAACCCTATGAAGAATGGTTGCATATTTTGGGTCTGGCTAGTCTAAAGAAAAGAAGAATCAGGGGTGACATGATAGCAGTATTCCAGTATTTGTGGGGCTGCCACAGAGAAGAGAGGGGTCAAATTATTCTCCAAAGCATCAGAAGGCAGAACAAGAAACAATGGATGGAAACTCATCAAGGAGAGAAGCAACCTGGAACTAAGGAGAAACTTCTTAACAGTGAGGACAATTAACCAGTGGAACACTTTGCCTTCAGAAGTCATGGGTGCTCCAGCACTGGGGGTTTTTAAGAAGAGATTAGACCAGTGATGGCTAACTTTTTTGCCGTCACATGCCAAAAGCGATGGGAGCATGCGGGGGTTGCCCACACGTGTGCCCCCACTCAATGTCCCCCACACTTGCATGCGTGACCCCCCGTACTCCCCCTGCTTTTAGCAGGCGATGGCACGGTGGGCCCGGTAGGCCCGTTTTTGCCCTCCCCAGGCTCCAGAAGCTTTCTTGGAGCTTGGGGAGGGTGAAAACTGCCTTCTTCACTGCCCCGGAGGCCCTCTGGATGTCGGAAATGGCCCATTTCCCGACATCCTGTAGGCCCGAAAATCAGCTGGCCAGCCCGCACATGCACGCTGGAGCTGAGCTAGGGCAACACTCACGTGCCCACAGATATGGCTCCGCGTGCCACCTGTGGCACACGTGCCATAGGTTCGCCATCACGGGACTAGACAGTCACTTGTCTGAAATAGGATAGGTTCTCCTGCTTGAGCAGGGGGATGATCTAGATGACCTCCAACCTCCCTTCCAGCTCTGTTCTATTCTTACCATTCTAACCTATGATTCTAAGATGGCCCCAACCCATGAAAAGCTTCAAAGGTGACAAAGTCCTTCACATATCCTCTACCATTAACCTCTTCCAGTCATGACGCTTGTAGAAAAAGGGGGCTGAATTTGCACTGGTTGTCCTCCCCTGATTTTGTGGGTGGTTTGAGGATCAAATGTCAACTATAAACTGGGGTTTTTGCACATAGGTGTCATCTGGTTATCTACGGGACCGCCTACTACCACCAATAGCCTCCCACCGGCTGGTACGCTCTCATAGAGAGGGGCTCCTCCGGGTGCCGTCAGCCAAACAATGTCGACTGGCGGCCCCCAGGGGGAGAGCCTTCTCTGTGGGGGCACCTACTATCTGGAACGAGCTCCCCCCAGAGATACGGAGAATCCCGGATCTGCGAACCTTTCCGCCGCGCTCTCAAGACCTTTTTATTCCACCAGGCAGGCCTGGCCTAATCTTTTCCCTTTTTCTTTTTAATATAAAAATTTTAATCTGTTTTTAAATGATTGGGGTGTTTTAAATCTGTCTGGGCCAAATTGTTTAATTCAGTTTTATTCTGTTTTAAAATTTTATCGTTTGGCTGTTCACCGCCCTGAGTCCTTCGGGAGTAGGGCGGTATATAAATCAAATAAAGATAAAGATAAAGGTCTAAATTCCAGTTCCAGTCTACAAAATGACCAAGCGATTAAGAATAACATTGCTGGCTTTGATGTGATTTAAGCTGCAGTCTCTTCTTTGCGTTGTTTTGGCAAGCGAGAAAGCTGCCTCTACACAACCTTTCAATTGAGGGTACTTAAGTCCCTTTTCAATTAGCAGTCCCAACCATCCAGCTCGCAGGAGTCCGATCGCCTATTCCCATTGTAGCACTGCTGCTCCAATTAAGTGCCTCTTCAATTTTCTGTTTTCCTAAAAACGTATTGGCTGGAGCACAATTAGATTGCACTGTGCAGAATTGCTAAACTTGTGTCGTGAAGGGACAACGGCCCACGAGACAAATACCGTTCAGAATTAGAAGTTGGGAATGATCGTTGTGGGAAACGAGGGCCCATCGAGCATGTTCGGTAGGCAGTTTTCTACGGGGGACAATTGGATAGGATGTCCCAACGGTGGTTTTTTTTCAAGAGGCCACTGGACTTCATTTTTCCTTGAAGAGCTTTTGCTTCTCGTCCAAGAAGCTCCTTCAGTTCTGACTGAACGGTGGAGGATGGAAGGATTTATATTCCTTGCAGTCATCTGGTCATTAGTATTCTTTCTGAGAGTCACTGAAACCGCTTGGAGGTTTATCTGTGCCCTCGGGGTCACCAGGATAATGCAAAAGGGTGTGGAACCTTGAACTGCTTGTTGTGGCTCCGTTACCTGAGCCTGTGTCATCGGCAGGAGAGGACTCCGAGAGTGAAGGAGAGGAGTTGGCAAGGCCTACCTCTCCAGGACCCTACTCTCTGGCAATGCCTTCGGTGTCCGCCGAAGGGCAAGAGATAGGGCCGGGGCCAAGCACGTCCATGCAGCCACAGGTGGACAGTGATGAGGGTAATGAGTCTTGACTGGATCCTCGGCAGTGTCGCAGAGATAAGCGCGCACAACAGAAG